GAGTAGAGGTTGTCGTACGACTTCCATATATGGATGTCCATATGGATGGCTCTAATGTACCTATAGAAGGCTCTCATGTCCCTATAGATGGTTCATTAATTATATATTCAATCTTATGTACATATGCGTGGTTATTCATGCATGCCGTTGCATAAATATCACAAAAATTCAGGTTCACTCAAGCGAATTGGTCTCGTGGCTTAATGGTTAGGTCTAGGGATAATATCGGGTTAGGCAATACATAGCGCTGGTTCGAATCTTAGTACTCGTTCTTCAAACATTTCTTTTCGGTTTAAGTTTAGGTCTTTGAAATTTTCTAAGTTCTTCTCCACGTAATTGGGACATCAGCACCTTCTATGTGCACATCAGCGCCGTACATGCACAACCATATATGGAAGTCGTACGACAAACCCTTCTCCGTTTGTCAATTGGTGCTATTGAATTTTCATTGCGCGCACATAAAACAACGTTCCACCCAAATGATTGTCCAGTCGTTCAGTTGATTGTCTATTGATACTGTTGAATGCTCGCACGTATTTAAATATCGCTATTGAAAGTCGTTTCGCGCCAATGATGTTGCTTATGGTGTTCAAGAAAGTACAATAAAAGTTATTGAAGCAACGCTTGGCACAAATGAATGTACGTTTTACGCTAATGAACAGCAAAAGGTGTATTCAGTATATATTTTTGATGTTTACATGTTTCACCAATCATAATCACGCTGCAAGAAACGTTCTGCTCTCTGGTTGTATTTAACTGAAGAATGTGCAACGAAGCATTTTTTAATGATGGAAAGAGCCTTTGAATTCTTAGTTTTGCAGTCTTTCATTCGGTAATAAAGACCCATCTTGCTTGTAAACGGCATTCCAAGAATTTTTATACCTGCATCTAAGCTATTTCTGCGAAATTTGGCGATCGATGACAGAAATGGTGTGATAAATCTGAATTCATGTAATTACACAAACATCTTTATTGATTCACCTATAAAAAAATGCATTCCAATACTTTTAGGTTGGTCTAGTTGTTGGCTGCAAAGGCCGATCAAAAGAAAACGCCTTCGCTTCCAGACAATTCCACGGAAAACATTCTTTCTGTTGATCCTGACCTATCGGTAAGTATAAGTAAAACAATCCATAGAAACTTAAGTAAAAATACGTGTAAGAAGTAGGCAACTCTCTATTGTTCTGCGGTAATTGCAACTTCTTAGGGCTCCCATTGATAACAGTGCACATGCAACTGATGGGACCACACTTAGCTTTATGATAAATAAAGGTTTATTCATTCATTCATTCACTCACACATACAAATGTACTGGTTTTCACACTCATTATCTATCAGTCAATGGGTAATACATTTCTAAACTAAAATGTGGATAAACTCTCATTGAAACAAAGTTTCTTTTGTATTAAAAGATCTTTTCCAATCATAAGCACTCAAAACAATAGCCAAAAGATGCTTCTAATTTCCTATGTTCCCCACATAGAATTGCTATYAATATAAGTGGAATCAGATATGAWATAAAATATTACAAAATGCGCGCTAACTTGTGAAACTATGTCAGATTTTAATGTTTTAACCAATGAGATGGATGGATTATACAATACACAATTAGCACCTTGTTGCCGTTTGATTGCCCACTTCTTACTTAAATTGAACATTAGCTATCAATGATTTGTAGCACTATTTCTATAACTGAAATGCAAACTAAATGGAAAAATAGGAAGAATCAAAACCAAAATTTGTAAAAGAATACTTTC